ATCACTAGTGAGTTGTCTCACATTGATTCTATAGGGTAAATGAGCTTAGGTTATAAGCCTAGTGGGGTACTTCTCCCATCACCAATTGTTTTGGGATGGAACCCCAACTTCACTTCTTCCCTCACGGGAAAAATGCCACGGGGCACTAGTAGTATAGTTTGGTTAAACTAAACGAATCTTCATAAGATCCCTTCTAAGATAAAGGGCAAGTATTCCATACTACACACTGTAAATCAACATTTTGAATTATAATGAAATAGTTCACACTGTAAATCAATATTTTGAATTATATTTTGCATGGGTATACACTTGCACCCAGGAACTGAACTTTAGACTATATATATCTAAGATCACTAAATAGTAAATATGCAGCCAGATTATAACGAAAATATGAATGTTCAATAACTTGCAGATAACGCTCAAAGTACTTGCAAGCACTCACAAACTTTGTGTAAGCCCTATCAACCAAATCCCTCGACTGTCCCTGTATGTACTGCTCCATGCGGGTTGCCAGAGTAGCAAATCTAAGCAACGAGTAAACCCCGAATGATAATTATGCATGACACAAAATAAATTTGTGAATGCCAAAGAAAGCTACAACCTGCAGTGCTAAAAAAATATGCATGAAACTGTATATTTGAGAACACAAAGAAACAAATAAATTGAAGTAGAGAGACAACTCAGGACAAAAAATAAAGAGAGAAAAAGTCATGCAGGGCACCTAGGACAAAATCCACTATGCGCAAACACAAATGTTCGGCAAGAAACAAAACATTTACTCGATAGTTCATTTATGACAGACATCAAAACCAAAATGTCATTTGATTAACATCCTTATCTCCATGAGAAATTTGAATATAAGAATAAGAAATACCCATTACATATACATTCCATATCTTTAAACTGCTACTAGCTTGTTCTATTTTGGAGTTATATTTGTGATTTGAAGAATGTTTGTTTAATTAGGAAACACCAACTCTTTAGTATGAGAACCTACTGGATCAAATAGTGCATCGAGAAATAGTGTGAAAAATTAAGTTTGATATTACCTGGAGATATATGACAAAACTCCCACCTGTCGAACATTTCGCTCATTTCTTTCAATCTGGTGGCAAGCTTCATCGACAAACTGATATCCGATATATGTATTACGCGAAAAAACATCATCAGTCAAATTTCATGCAT